GTCCCCCACCAAAACAACTATTTTTATTCCACTGAATCCCCTGAACTTTTGGGGGTGTCTGACAAAACCCCCTAAACTTTCCAGTTTTCCAATGGACTCCCTAACACATGTTCATGGCATCATTGGCTATTTTACTTTGATTGTGTAGCTTGGTGATCCATTAACACTGTTAGGGGTCTGTGGAAACTATTGAAAGTTTAAGGGCGTTTTGTGAGACACCCCAAAGTTCAAGGGTTTTAGTGGACTATAAAAAAGTAAGGGCTTTCATGGAAACGCCCCCAATTTGTTTCGATGGGGGGTTTGTGAAATTTACCCTAAATAAAGTGCCAAGTGTGAATAAACCTTATGGTGTATTATAAGTTATGCCTTTGTTAAACCTGATAATACGTATGGAATAATGTTTTAGATGTAGATACTGAACGATATCTCTGACTTGTTCTGTAGGTTCAAGGAACTGGTCCCAATATTACTTCAATACATAAGAAGCCGGCAAACAGATGGGAGGCAAGTTGCATTATTTGCTCATAATGGACGTGGATTTGATGTACCTTTCCTCATTCATGAATTTAGGCGGTGTAAAGTGGAGATTCCTGAGGACTGGCTATTCGTAGATACACTTCCTCTTGCTAGGAAATTGGTGAAGCCAGATGGTACATGGTTTCTTCTTTTATAATCAGTTAGATAATTTCAGTTATATGATATTGGTACTTTCAGTTGGTCCTTGTTTATTTTTTTTTAACTGCTAATTGGAATATCTTATTGCCTCTACCTCTTTAGTTACTTTATGTTCTCCTTTCAGAAGATACAAATCCCATGCATATGCTTTATCTTCTCCTAAAGAGAAACATATGCTTTATCTTCTCCTAAAGAGAAATAATACGTTCATTACCAAAAAAATATTAAGCAATAAATCTCTCCTTTTCTGAATCATGCTCAAATCGAAGTAATATACTTGATTTAGTTATAGCAGCAACAGAGGAGCAGTCCTTGTTCTTCATTAGGCTTGGCTTCTAGTTATCGTGGTCTCAGTCTCAGATTTTGCATTATAACCACAGCTATGGATGTTGCGTCTGATCAAAAAATCATATTTGATTATTGTCTTACAACTATGATTCTAAATGGTAATGCATGACTTGCCTCATGACTTGGAGGTTAAATAGGATAAAGTTTCAGAAAACTGCCACGAATTTTGGTGGGTTTTGCGCGAAACTACCATAAGTTTTTATCAAGTGAAAACTGCTGCGAAGTTTTTTTGCTATACTTTCATGAATGATGGTAGTTCGAGTAAGTTGTCATGCAATATAATATGTTTTTGACAACTTTGCTCATATGTACTTTTATTTTAACATGTACTTTTATTTTATCTTCTATATCACCCTCTCCCTGCCTCCCTTCATATTTGTACGTGTAGTTTAGACATCTTGTCCAAGATGTCGACGTTTTTCCAACAATTTCTGTAGGTCATGTTTCTTTTCTTTTTTTTTTTTTGGCAGTTTTGAAAGTTTGTAGTTTTCTTTAATTAAAAAAAGTTGATGGTAGTCTTTTGCAAATACACCCAATTCATGATAGTTTTGTAAAAACTACACTAAAAGTTATTGCTTTTATTATTTGCTTTTACAGTGAAAATGCCCTTTCAGCTCCCTAATGCATTACCATTTTACTTTCAGGATCGAAGCTCGAATCCTCCAAGCTGGATGATCTGCGCCAATATTACGAAATTCCTTTGATCGGGCCTGCACACCGGGCTATGCAAGATGTACACACTTTAGCATATGTCCTCCAGAAGATGTCGTATCAGCTGAAACTGTCAATTCCAGAGCTCCTTGATGGAGGATTTCGTGCATCGGATATAATCAAAGTTGCTCCTTGACAGCAAACTGTTAGTTTTAACTTAAAAAAAACTAAAAATGAGCTTGTACAGCTCTTTCTTTTATTAATTACTTGTTATTAATTTGTTATTGTATCGCAATCTCTTTCACATTTGAGAATTCAGCGATCATATTTTAGAATCTTTGAGATCCTCGTTCTCAAAGAGTGATTGATGTATTACTCATTGTACTGTTATATCGAAAAAGAAAATGAAAACATGAATTCTGCATTGAACTCTCATCCTCTTTCTCCAGGACTGCTGTAAAATTTTTGTAAGAGGGGCCTTGTTGAGAATTTTTCCCCTTTGCTTAATTCTGGGTCATTGTTGTTTCCAACTGGAAAACCATTTAAAATTATATTCATTTTTTTTTCATTCAGCAATATCTTATCCAGTGATCTCTTAGTTCTCCATGTATCTTTTTAGGTACTAAATTGTTCACGAGGACCATATACGGTTCTTGCAATTGGATTAGGTTTTGGACAATGCCTTTTTTTTTTTTTTTTTTTCCAAAGCTTCCCTAGGTTTTTTTTTTTTATTGCGAAAGAAACTAATATTCTTCCGAGGCACTAGGAGAATTGACTTCACATGACGGATATGATTCAAAAATAAAATAACTGCAATTGTTTGTGTAAGTGAACGCGAAAAACGTGCTTTCGTTGAGAGTCGAACTCAAGACCTCCCGCTTACTAAACGGGTGCTCTAACCAACTGAGCTACGAAAGCTTGTCGCATGTAGCGACCATGACACCATATTTGACCAAATTACTAAATTGTGCTCCGTCGCCCCTCGCTTCAACCTCCTGGATTTTCCCTCCATTTCCACCTTATAAATATCCAACCCCAATCTTACAGAGAACTGAGGACTGACCTTCCAAGCACGAAGGATACCAATCTCTACCTCTCCTTCTTCAAAAACCTCTCTAGGGTTTCGATTCAACTGAACCTTTCAAATTTTATTTTTTTTAATTCCAAGAAAGATCACGATATAAACGTAGAATCGATCTCTAACAACAAAATTTCAGTTTATAATCCGCTGAAATCTCGCCCTATTTGAAAAATTTCAACAGAGAAACCCTAATCAATGGAGGGAGACGAGCTCACCCCGCCTCCATCTTCGCCCTACGACTCCATCACCACCATCACTCCCCAATCCTGCTGCTCCTTCGAAGACGAGAGCGGCCTCACAGCCTCACCGCTGCCTGGTTCGAGATCGAGAAGAACATGGCCATTCGAGAGCTCCAGCAGATGGTGAATCGCTACAACGACTGTTACCTTCAGCTGAAGGATGCGGTGACCGCTGTTGAGATGCTAAGGGAGGAGAATCTGCAGCTGGCTGCGAAGAATCTTGAGCTCGACTTTCTGCTTGAAGACATGGAGAGGGCGGAGGTGATCGGAGTATCGCCAGCGGCGAGATCGGTGAGAAAGGGATCGGATCTTGATTCTTCTGGTGGATCCGGATCCGGATCGGGTTCAGGATTGAGTTCGATCTCTGGATCCGGTCCGGGATCGGGATCCCATGGGGCTCGTGGATTGCCGAAGAGCATCTCGATTCGATCGCGGGGGTTCTTGGCGATCAACCAGCCGGATCCTGGTGGGGCCCACCGCGTTCGTCTTCCTGTTTCTCCCGCCCTGGCCCAAGTGAGTTTCTGATCACGCCACGTGGCAAAGAAAAGCGTGCGCTGTCAAACCTGTTGTTTCATCGACTCAATCTTACGATGCAATTTCTTAACTAGTTTTAGTTGTTATCCATATAATTTTGATATTTAGCTTGCAGTTCTTTGTTAGTTATTAGAGCCAGTGCGCTTTCGTTTTGAGATATTCTGAATTTGACGGACTAAATAAGCTATTAATTTCTTTAGTTTGGCATGTATTTCTGTTACCATATTAAACTAGGCTCTGTTTGCAAATAAAACCCCGCTGGGTTTCAATCTGCAATTTCAATTTTGTTCAGGACGGTGACAAGGAAAAGGCTGAAGTGGAGTTGGATGCGTACAGCCAAGGGAACGCCAAGACCGAGCTCTGCAACAAATGGGGAGAGATGGGGTGTTGCCCCTACAGCGACCGCTGCCAGTTCGCCCACGGGATCGAGGAGCTCCGCCCGGTGATCCGCCATCCGAGGTACAAGACCCAGCTCTGCCGCATGATGGGTTCCGGCGGTGACTGCCCATACGGTCACCGCTGCCACTTTCGACACGCTCAGCAGCCCACTGCACCCAAATGAATTTGGTCAGTACCTCGACTGTTGATATATCACTGTTTTCTGCTCCAGTTTTCCTACTGAACTTTTACTTAGCGTTGCATAATTGAATAAGGTTTTATTAGGCCAAAAGATAAAGGCCCCATTTAGGTGGGCTGAACAACGTTTAGTCCTATTACTGAGCTTCTGCTGCACCCAGTAATAAAATGCATTCCAGTTATTGGGTCTAATTCCAGTTCGGAAATGATACTGGTTGGTTTTGAACTTTTTTTTAAGTTGGTAATTAGACTGATTTTTTACAATTTGTATTGATTCACTGTGAGTAAATGCTTTGCTAATTTTGTAGACGATTTGGACACAGTTTGTATTATAATTAGCATGTATTTCTACTATGGTTTTATTAGCATTATTGCACCTGCGAGCACATTCACCATGAATATTAAATTTATTTACTCAAAATTTTATATCAAAAGAGCGAATTATATTTTAATATCTTGAAGTACCATCAGTTGATTGGCTGTTATCTTATATTCCAAAATAGTTAAGATGTAATTTTATAAAATGGTAATATTGTTATCTTATTTGAGCATGACAGTAGCTTTCCATTTACTAAATATTTATCAAAATCATTGTAGAAAATACTTTAATCTTAACAATCTGAAAAAATATAAGGAGTTGTTTTAAAAAAATTCTATTATTTAAAATTAAAAGTATTCTTTAAAGTGATCATGGTCAAAAAATTTAAATCATTATATTTTGCATTAACGTGTAATTGATAATCATTTTAGAAAAGAAGCTTAGCATTTTATATTTTAATATCTTATAATGTATAGTTTGATGAATATTTAATTATGTTAGTTCCAATTCTATTATAATTCTTGGAATTTAATTCCTGGAAAACCTGAGGCCATGTGTTGGGGGATGCTTTTTAGTCACTCCCAAGAATTTGATATCCATGGTCTAAAGAAGCATGGAGAAATTCCCTCATCCAAACTCAAAAAAATATTCTACTATCATAATTTAGAATGTTCTGGAAATAAGAAAATGATGATTATTAATTAATGTGGATGAAATCCTATTCTCATTCATAATTTAGAATCTTTAAGAAATAAGAGAAGAAACAAAATAACGGGGGGAAAAGATGTACAAAATTACTAATATGTGTTTGCTTTTCTACTCTTGTGAGAAATGTTCTTCGATCTTTCCAGTACTATGCTAAGATTATAATATAGTAGTATAGATAAATATAATTGTCCCTTGCTAGGAATATTTTCCTCTTTTGGGTAGGTTGCGGGTCTCCATCTAGAATTTTCTAAAGTGTACCCCCCGGACAAGTTGAGAGTCTTATATTCTAAAGAGAAATAATTCGGAATATTGTAAGATGTTAAGACCGCTCATGTCATACATGGATCTTCTAATTCTATCAAATTTGATGTTAAATATAGTTGGGAAATAATATTTATTATTGTCAGTCCTGTCGAATGATGTGAAAATAGTTGGTAGGTGTTAATCAAAGGGAAATTGTATATATATACTATCCATTCTTGGGGTTGAACACACAACCCTTTCCCTTTCGGATCTTGTACCGAAAGTAAGCAAGCAGGTCATCACAACAAATAAAAAAAACTTGCAGGAAAGAATAATCAAACCAGAGAACACCAGATTTAACGATGTTCGACAAACGTGGTTATGTCCTCGGAAGCCACACCAAAAAGTTTTGATTAATTGAAGAAGATTACAATGCTCGCAATAGGCCTCTCTCTCTCTCTCTCTAAGATCTCTAATCTCAAAGTGTAGTCAAAACCCCTCTTTTTCGTGTTCTACAAACCCTTAAATCGTTTAGGTATATATAGTATTCTAGCCCAAAATAGATTCCCAAACGAATTAGAAAACTAAAAAAAACTGATTCCGGTTGATCGAACCATGAGTGTCGGTCGACCGGCCAGAACACACTTATTTTACAGGGCTTTCGTGCATGTTATCGGTCGACCGGATCAAGGCTCTCGTTCGACCAGCCAGAGCACTGTTTCCAACCTCGTTTCCTGCAGTCTCTTCAGTCGATCGGATCTCCTCCGTCGGTCGACCGATCCGATATTTTTAGCCTCGCAAAATTGTTTCAGGTTTCATTCTTCACACGACCAAAACTAACAATCTCCTACTTAGAGATGAAAATGTCATCAACGAGCTCTCCCGAACTCACGCCATCTTCGCAAGCATCTTCTCCTACCCAGAAAAAAATCCATTCTTCAATCAATATCATCTCGACGATCCTGCCTATCCTCCTAGTGTGGCTCCCCCTTCATCTCCTACGAGTGAAGGCCAACTGAAGTTGCGTATAACTCTAGTTTGTCGATGGTCACTACTTTTATCAACATATCCGCAAGATTTTGGCTCCCCAAAATCTTCTCCAACTGTAACTTGTCGTCCTCAATCTGTGAGCGTATGAAGTAGCAACGTACGTCAATGTACTTCGTTCTAGCATGATATACTGGATTCTTGGCAAGGTGTATAGCACTCTGGCTATCACAATAAAGAATGTTGTTCCCCTGCTTCAAACCCAACTCTTCCAGGCACCCTGTCAACCAAATCATCTCCTTGCTAGCTTCAGTCACTGCGACATACTCTGCCTCGGTCGTAGATAATGTTACTATCTCTTGCAGACATGAGACCCAACTCACTGTTGTCGACACCAAGGTATAAACATACCCTGTGGTACTTCGCCTCGTATCATTATCATCGGTGAAATCTGCATCCACGTATCCCCGCATTACCAACTCCTTCTTCCTGAAACACAATGGCATATCCGTAGTCCGACTCAAGTAACGCAATATCCACTTCACGGCATCCTAATGCTGCTTCTCTGGATTGCTTGCAAATCTACTCACAACTCCCACTACATAGGCGATATTCGGGCTCGTGCAAATAATCGCATATATAAGACTACCAATGGCTGATGAATATGACACTCTGCTCATGTGCTCCTTTTCTGTATCTGTCCTGGGTGATTGCTCCTCAAATAGCTTGAATTGACTTCCAAGTGGCGTGCCGATGGGCTTAGCATTCTCCATATTGAATCTCTGAAGTACATTCTCGGTGTATTCAGCTTGACTTAACTTCAACGTCCCTTCAGCTTCATCTCGATTAATTCACATCCTAACAATTTGCTTCGCTGTACCCAGATCCTTCATAGCAAACTCCTTCGGTAACTGCTTCTTCAATTTGTTTATCTCCTCTAAACACGGTCCTACAACTAACATGTCATCAACATACAATAATAACATGATATAGCTAGACTCGGACCTCTTAAAGTAGCAACAATGATCTGAATTGCATCTTTTATAGCCATTGCTCTGCATGAAGTTATCGAACTTTTTGTACTACTACTGCCTTGGAGCCTGTTTCAAACCGTACAAGCTCTTCTTGAGCCTACACACCATATCTTCCTTTCCTTCTTCTATAAAGCCAACATGTTGTTTCATGTAGATTTCTTCATCCAAATCACCATGAAGAAAGGTAGTCTTCGCATCCAACTGTTCAAGGTAGAGATTTTTAGCAACTACTAAGCTCAACACCACTCTGATGGTTATAAGCTTCACGACGGGGGGAAATATTTTTGTATAATCCACTCCTTCCTGCTGTTGGAACCCTTTCACAACTAATTAGGCCGTGTACCTCTTGCTTTTATCACTCTCCTGCTTGACCTGGTAGACTCATTTGTTATGTAAGGCTTTCTTCTGTGCAGGTAGCTGAGCTAACTCACATATCTCATTCGAATGGAGAGAATCCATCTCTTCTTGCATTGTCTGCTCTCACTGTTACGATTCACTAACTTGCATAGCCTCCTCATAGCACTCTGGTTCTCTGCCATCTGTTGTTTGTGGGAAAATTACAAGAATAATTACGAGAAATGTATTTGATTTTATTCTCTCTAACTGATTTAGATAAAGAATAGTTTATAATTCTCTCAAAGTAATCTCTCACTAACAGGCTTAGAAAAAGAAATTACAAATATTCTTAATCAGAATTTCGATTTACAAAAGAGAAGAGGATCGACGGAGATCCTCCCCTTTATTTAAAACTGGGTTATTCACGGTAACGATGAGATGTCTCCCTCGATGTTCGTATCGAGTTTGCTTCTCGTTGACGATCTAAACATCTCACTTCACTAGAACGGTTGATGGAACTTTTGTGGCAAGTATGAAAAGAACTCTTAACGAGTTTTATAACTCGGTGCAAGTTTTTTTAAGCTCTGTGAAAGAGTTGATTTGAAACCAAAAATTCGGTTAGTAAGCCAAGATCTAAGCTCCAAGATCTCTGTTGCTAATGATAAAAATTCTCTAAGGATGAATGCTGGTCTCCTTTTAGATTTTTCGATCTCCAAAAGATCCTCCGAACTTAGCTGAGTTTTTTGCCATTTATAGGGGTTTTAGGGGTGTAACCGCCCCCTAAAATCTCTCCTTAATGAGGTGTAACCGACTCCATTTGTGAAAAATGGTTTTGAAACCGTTCAGGGGTTTAAGGGGTATAATCGCTCCCTAAAATAGTAAAATCTCTCCATAATGGGGTGTAACCGACCCCATTAAGTGGAGATAGGGTTTTGAAACCGCTCAGGTTCTGTTTGAACCAGTCAAATGCTGAAAGTGGCACTCTGGGCTTAAACTCTGCGTTTTAGACCTGAAACGCAGAGTTAGGCATGTGCTTGAGGCTGAAAATGTCGTGTTCACATAGCGTTGTAAATCTGAAACGCAGAAATGAACTCTGCATTTTGGAATTTAAAGAGATAGTTGACTTCTAATCTCTTTCATTAGTGCATTAGCAGAGATCATCATTTTGTAATCTCCACCTTAGCTTTTTAAAATGTGGGAGTCGTCAGATTGTAACTCTTGTAGTTATCTGTAAAGACTACAGAATCAGAGTTTCCATCGATTATCGTGAAGGTCGTCGAATTGTAACTTTCTCAATCTACATGAAAATCTTCTAATAGTAGCCTTCGTTTGTTGATTTGATTGTGGAATTGTTATTATAGAAGTCATCAAATTATAACTGTCATTATTGGTGTTTGATGGGGATCAACTATCTTTAGTGATTTTTAGACAGCCTACATCTGTCAAGAGCAAATAATCTAGTGACGAAAGATATCTGGGATTTGGTTTGGGTACCCTGGATGACCTCCTAAGCTCCACGTCCAGGGTAGTAATCTCTGCACCTGGAGTCTCCTTTGTTCTTCGGTCAGAACTAACGTTGTCTTCCATATCTGAAAGTTCCTCCAAATCCATGTACTCGGATTCACCTGCATCCTTAGTACTGCTCCCACTACTTTGGCTATCATTAGCATTGTCCATATCCTTGTACATCA